ACTGGATTGTGTGAAAGTTCTGAATCGTAAAGACAAGCTGTACACTCATTTTGAGTCAGTGGCTTGTGTTTGTTCTCATATTGAGAATTATTCATGCCTTTTTCACCTGCTTTTCCTGTAACAAATTTTTCTTGGCTACAGAATTAGCCAAGATCCCAGGAGTGAGTCTGACATAACTTTCAGTCAGCAAGATTAAAAAGTCTGCTTGCCCAGCAGAAGGAATTAGAGAAGGACCTCCTAGAGCAACAGCTATTCTGTGAGAACACATCTCTGCAGAAATCAAATACGTGGTATGGAATACTGTTATTGTTTTGATTTATATCCAAAGCTAAGAAAGTCTAATAAAATGGAATATCTAACACATTGCATTAGGAAAAATAATTCATTTGTATTCACAAATATAATGGCAAGGGCCAATGTGTCTCTTGGATCTTCCCTCACGCTCAGCATTACTTTGTGTATTGATGCTTCATGGTTTCATAGACTGATTAAAACTGTGACTGTGACCTTTTAAGTTGCTCATTTATTATCCCAATAGAGAGAGAGGTAAAACTGACCTTACTTGAACCTCTCATGGATCGCTGCCTTGATGTGGCAAAGGGCCTTGCGTGGTTCGATGAGGCTGCGGGTTATACCGCGGAGGGCCACCCAGGATGGACAGGCCACAGATGAGAACTCAGACCAAGCGTGATCCCCTGGAGAAGGAAATGGCAACCCACTCCAGTATCTTTGCCAAGAAAACCCCATGGACAGTAACAAAAGGCTAAAAGATATGACACCGGAAGATGAGCCCCTCAGGTCAGAAGGTGTCCAATATGCTACTGGGGAAGAGCAGAGGGCAAGTACAAGTAACCCCAAAAAGAGAGGCGGCTGGGCCAAAGGTGAAAGGATGCTCAGCTGTGGACGTGTCTGATGATGAAAGGAAAGTCCGATGCTTCAAAGAACAATACTGCATAGGAACCTGAAATGTAAGATCTATGAATCAAGGTAAGCTTGACGTGGAAAAAAATGAGATGGCAAGACATCGACATCTGGGAATCAGTGAACTAAAGTGGGTGAATTTAACTCAGAAGACCATTATGACTACTATTGTGGCCAAGAATCTCATACGAAAAAATGGTGTGGCCTTTATAATCAACAAGAGAGTACAAAAGGCAGTAGTGAGATACAATCTCAAAAATGACAGAATGATTTCAGTCTGAATCTAAGGCAAACCATTCAATCCAAGGCAAACCATCCGAATCCAAGGCAAACCATTCAAGATCACAGTAATCCAAGTCTATGCTCCGACCACTGTCACAGAGGAAGCTAAAGTAGAATGGTTCTATGAACACCTACAACACCTCCTAGAACTAACATCAAAAAAAGATGTCCTTATCATCATAGGGGACTGGGATGCTAAAGTAGGGAGTCAAAAGCTAACCAGAATAACAGACAACTTTGGCCTTTAAGAACAAAATGACGCCGGGCAATGGCTAACAGAGTTTTGTCAAGAGAACATGCTGGTCATAGCAAACACCCTCTTCCAACAACCTAAGAGGTGACTCTACACATGGACATCACCAGATGGGCAATACCGAAATCAGATTAATAATATAACTTGCAGTCAAAGATGGAGAAGCTCCATACAGTCAGTAAAAACAGGCCCTGGAGCTGACTGTGGCTCAGATCATGAGCTACTCATTGCAAAATTCAGGTTTAAACTGAAGAAAGTTGGGAGAACCACTAGGCCATTCAGGTTTGACCTAGATCACATCCCTTATGAATATACAGTGAAGGTAAAGAATAGGTTTAAGGGACTAGATTTGATTGACAGTGTGCCTGAAGAACTATGGATGGAGTTTTGTGACATTGTACAGGAGGAAGCAATTAGCCCCGTCACAAAGGGAAAAAAATGCAAGAAAGCAAAGTGGCTGTCTGATGAGGCTTTACAAATAGCTGAGGAAAGAAAAAAAGTGAAAGGCAAAGGTGAAAAGGAAAAATTTACCCAACTGAATGCAGATTTCCAGAGAACAGCAAGGAGAGATAAGGAGGCCTTCCTGAATGACCAATGCCAAGTAATAAACAATAGAATGGGAAGGACTAGAGATCTCTTCAAGAAAATTGGAGAAATCAAGGGAACGTTTCATGCAAAGCTGGCCATGATAAAGGACAAAAACAGTAGGGACCTAACAAAAGCAGAAGAGATTAGGAAGAGATGGCAAGAATACACAGGAGAACTATACAAGGAGGTTCTGGTTCCAGTACGGCGTGGCGACAGGCAGCTTTCGGGCTCCTCCAAGCTGCCTGATTCCCCTTTGTCTCTTTTGAAGCCCCCAGTGAGTGTTGGGCTCCACCAGACCTCCCGGAGAGAGGACCGGTGCAGAGGGCTTTGTTTTGGCCCCTCTCGCACCTAACAATGTGTGTGTGGGGGGGGATCGTTACTGCCCTGAAACAGGAGCATCGGGAGGAGTGTAGTATGGCTTCCATGTCTGCAACTAGCCGTAGCCTTCCATTTTAAACTAAGTTTGGATTATAATATTTACAGCAACGCAAATGAAGAATAACCTTTTTTGAACCTAGACAATATCGCGAGTTTGTGAGTATGCCTGTTTTCAAATCTAATAGAAGAAACGACCTTTTATAAATTTACCCTGAATTTCTGTGCCCAAAGACGGAGCAGATTAGCGGCCGGAGAAGGAATGGGGAAAATATTCGTATGAACGTTGTTGTTTTTTGTTGTTGTTGTGGGGTTTAAAAAATTGTAGGAAAGGACTTACAACCATACATGATATCTAGATGGTTATTAAAGACTGAGCTATTTAAATTGAAACCAACTGAGTAAATAAAATGGCACCTGCAGAGGAAACAGAGGAAGAGGAGATCGATGATAATATGTAAGTGGGAGATTTAACTGTGGAACAATTTTTGAAGTTGCTGAGAGAGGCAATACAAAAAGGGTTTGAGGCAGCTTGTGCCAATATATTTGTAAAACTACAGAGCGTGCAATCAGTGATGGAAAATGATGAGGAATTGGTACAGGATACACAGAGTGATATGGAACAACAGGCTTGCCACGTGTTGATATCCAGCCGGCATCAATTATAGGTGTGGAAAAGAAAGCAATGAGAAAGTCCTATGTAAAGTCAGAGCTAAAGAAAAAGAGACTACAAAGAAGTTTTTGTAGAGAAGGAAGAAAATGGAAAAAAAAGAGAACCCCCCCCCAATATGCCTGGAAAACAAAGACTGAAAATAAAATATGGGACACAGAGAAGTTTAAACATAGAAAAGGGAACGTAGAAGTAAAGTTGTGCACATATAAAGAGAGAAGGCATGTGGATTCATTGAGGCTAAAAAGCAGGTTACAAATTCACGGGGAAAAAGCAAAGCTATATAAAAGATGGAATGTTATTTAATTGGAAAAATGAAATCATGGTTCCTGTTTTAATGTGATATTGAAGATTACTCACTAAGGGATTTTTTATTTTCCCTCTTGTTTTTTTCCTCTTTCTTGTTTTGTTTCCTGTTATTTTTTGTTTTTTCATAAAATTGATTCTGTAAAAGTGAGAATTATAGAGGCAAGTGCTGTATAGAACGACATAAGTAGTAATAGCAATGAAAGAGGACTAATTAGGGCTAAGCAGTGTTAGAAATAAATTAGGGGTGAAAGCTCTCTTTTTTCTTCTGAGATATACTTAATTAAGTTGAAACAAAAAGTATGATATGGTACTAGTAGTGAAATATGTAGTGAAAACTTGGAAAAACAAGGTATAGCCTTCTAGGTTGAAAGAATCAAGTGATATGAAGTGTGAAATGTTTTAAATTTAAAGAGCTGCTTTTTGGCTTTTGTAAGTTTATACGTTTTCATTTATACATATTATATAAAAATTATATAGTTTTAAGGGAAGTATAATGAAAATTCAGAAGAAGTTGGAAATGTTTATTTTGGTAGATGTAATTTATTTTGGGGGAAAAGAGTATAGAATCTTGGCTATAAGGGAATATTGATAAATGAACTGGAAAATAAAGATGCAGGAAACATATGGATTGTGACAATGAAGAGTAATGAAAAGGGATAAATACGTCTAGTTAGGTTAGTTAGTGTGTGAAAGGTTGTGAGAACTTTACCTAAAAACAATAATGTCTACTGTGAAAAGATAAAAATAATTTGAAAATAAGTGGGTAGTTAAACCTCAAAAGGTGTTGTAGGAATATGTCACTAGCTGGGAAATGATATAATTTTATTTTCAAGAACTAAGTGGTGTTGCTGTAAGTAGAAAATAGTGATAGTTTATGTATATGTTTGTTTGTTTCGTGTCCATGTTCTTGTGTTTTGTGGTATGTGCTTATTATTTATAAAACTCAATAAATACATTATATATAAAAAAGGAGAACTATACAAGAAGGATCTCAATGTCCTTGACAACCACAATGATGTGATCACTGACCTCGAGCCAAACATCCTGGAATACAAAGTCAAATATTTTGAGTTCAACCAGTGTGGTGTAGTCTTTAGAATGCTGGACTAGAATGGGGATACCCGGCTTCAAATCCCCAATGAACCTTGAAATTCACTTGGTAACACTGGGTCAGTCACACTCTCTCAACCTAACCTATTTCACAGGTTTGTTGTGAGGAAAATGAAGGAGAGCACATTATATGTCAACATGAGCTTCTTTGAAGAAGTATAGGATAAAAATGGGGGGAGGAGGAGAATAATGAGGGTGGGGTTTGAGGAGGGGTGGGACCTCAGACAGGTACAATGCCATAGACTCCACCCTCCAAACTAGCCATTTCCTCCTGGGGAACCATTGTTGTCAATCTCCAGGTGAGCGCTGGAAATCACTCAGAATTACAACTGCTCTAAGGGTACTGAACTCCTTTGTCACCTACCACTGCTTCCGCATGGTATCCTTAAAGCAGACACCCTAGTTTCAAACATCAATGAGACACTGTCCCTCCTTAAAAAACCTGGGCCTGCAAGTCAATCTCAAATTCAACCGGTCCAGAAAATACAGTACATCGGTCTCTGGCACCATCGATGTCGACGACGGTGACGGGGAAGGAGAACGCTTTGCGCCCAGGGGGCGACTAAGGAGCTCCACCGTCTCGATATCGAAGTAGGGACACTCAAGTTGGTATATAGGAGAGTCCAAGAGTTGGATGGTCGGTATCGGTGGAGGGGCATGGGTCTCCGATGCTGATACAGCCGTTGGAGCGGATAGCACGTTAGGGGCATTACCCAGTGCAGACACCGCTTTCTCTCCCTTTTTCGCCGCTTTTAGGGATTTAGGGGGGCCCTTTTTGCGGACTTATGCTCCTTACTGGCCTTCGGCTTCTTCATCGGAGTGGAAGTGGAAGATCGTGCCTTCAATGCCGGAGGCTTCGACATCGATTGGCCGATGTCAGAGGAAGGCCTCAATGCCGGAGCCGTCAACGTGAATGGTCTGTCTGAATCCATCGCTGAGGGAGGATTTAAAGCCGACTCAAGTAGCGCTACTTTAAGACGCGCAGCTCGGTTTTTTTCTTGTCTGGTTTGAAAACCTGGCACAGAGCCGACAAGATTCTGGTCGGTGAAACTCCCCCAAACAGAAAATGCAAAGGGTGTGATGGTCAGGTGGCGCAACCCTTGCAACGATTGAAAAATCCCGACTTTTCTCCATAAACAAATTAAAAAGAGAGAAGAAGAAGGGGTTGGGGGGTGCCCAAAGGCCAGACTGAGGTAAACCCACACTTCCCCCTCAACAAAAAACAGGTTTTTTATATTATTTTATAAAGAACAAACAAGGAAATAGTAAGAAAAAGGACGAAAAGTGAGGAAAAAATCCAAAGAGCCGTGAGGCAAAGGCCAAAAATAGCGAACCAATCAGACCGATGGTAAAAAAGGAACTAGCGGGATGTCCACGCCATCCCCTCTGGCATTCGCGGTGGGGTTCCTGGGCATACCCGGGGTCTGGGCATGAAAATCCATTAAAGAGCTTGCTACCACGCCGATCGATCCAGCGCATGCACACTAGATCCCATGGGTGTGAAGCACAGCGACCATGTCGAAGATCTGGCGGGATCATCGTGCCCCACCCCCGGTCATGCGCACTGGAGCCCAGCACGTGACCGGGGAGCAGGCACGAAAATCCCTTTTCGCTTTCTACAATACCGATCCATTTTCTAAGAATCTCATTGAAGCATGACTGGAAAAGCCACCCTGAAGTGGGAGTAGGGATGCCAGTCCCCAGGTGGGGGTGGGGGATCCCCCAATTTTTGGGGCTCCCCACAGGCGCCGGCTGGGCCAGCCCAACCCCCAACAGTCATCTGTGGCCCTGCTTGAAAAGAGTGGGCACCCTGTGTGCCTGCCCCACAAGTGGCAAATTTGCGGCTTGCAGGGCAGGTGCATGGGGCACCTGCTCTTTTCAAGCAGGGGCCACCCACTCCTGCTCTGCAAGTGGTGAATTTGCAGCTTGCAGGGCAGGCACGTGGGGCGTCCACTCTTTTCAAGCAGAGGCCACCTGCTCCTGGCCTGCAAGCGGCGAATTCGTGGCTTGCAGGGCAGATGCTCATGGTGCTCGCTCTTTTCAAGTGGAGTCATGCACACCTGCCCTGCAAGCGACAAATTTGCGAATTGCAGGGCAGGTACACACAGCGCCTGCTTTTCCTCCAACCATTTAAAGGAAGGCTGCCTTTAAATGGCTGGGGGGAAAGCGGGAGGGATGTGCACAGGGCACTGCATCCCTGATGCAATG